GCTCCTGCGGCTCCCGGGCCCTCGGCGCCCGCCCCGCCGCTCACTTGCAGGTGTAGACCTCGGTGCGCTCGCTGCACGTGTTGCACTTGACGAAGCAGCACCAGTGGAACTTGCAGTTGCACTGCCACACGCGGGCGTACTGGTGGGTGTTGTAGCCGCGGCCGCAGCACATGAGGTCGCAGCCGCTGGCCTGCGGGGCCGTCTTGTTGCAGGCGCGGCCCTGCGTGCCCACGCTGCCCGTCACCGGGTCCTCCTCGCAGTAGTTGGGCGACTTCTCGATGTACACCAGGTCTGTGTCCATGGGCTTGCGGTAGGACAGCGGCTTCTTGATCTTGAGGAAGGTGGGCCGCTTGTTGCGGCTGGCGCGCACGGGCTCCACGTGGACCGCCTCGTTGTACTTGTCCTTGAGCACGTAGCCCAGCTCCCGGAACTGGGGCAGCGTGGTCCAGCAGGTCTTGGTGGTGCAGGAGCCCGACACGCCGTGGCACTTGCACTCCAGCTTCATGTTCTCCTCCAGGATCTGCGGGGCGGGCGGGGAGAGCACAGTGCACGTCACTGGCTGTGGCGGCCCGGGGACCCCAGCCCGCCCGCCCCCGCCCACCTGGCCGGCTCTGGCTTTAGTTTCTCTCTGTGGTGCGGGAGACCCAGACTGGGTTCGGACCCCTCTCACCTGCCGCCTCCGTGCTGTGCCTTCCACCGGGACGGGCCTGCCCTCCCTGCCTCCCCACCCCGTGTGGTCCTTGCACAGGTGCGTAGATCAGTGCAGGCCAGTCCAGACCTCAGACAGGTTCTCTCTGTGCTGCATGGGCTTCAGATCATTTTTGAACCAGCATTTAAAAACCAGGAGATATTCAATGACAGATTTTCAGGGGTTTTTTTGGCAAACAGAAAGCGCATCTGGCCACTCTGGAGTGATATTCAAATTATTTCATAGCCAGTGCGGCCGGGTGCTCACCTGCTGGCATAGGAGTTGGCCACAAATGCCAGCAGGGCAGCTCTGCTGTGTCTGGCTCACCGCAGCCGCTGCCAGCACCGTCACGTGGCAGCAGTGCCGGGAGCTGTACCAGCACCTGCCTCCTCTCCCATGGGTTGGCATCCCTCAACTTGCCACAGTCCTTACTGCTCCCTGCTGCCTCCCTGACCTCAGCTCTCCAGAGCTGTGATTGCAGTGGACCCCGAGTCTGGGAGCCCTGACGCTGATGCAACCCACCCTGGCGCCCAGGCTAGCGGCTGTGCGCCTTCTTCTGAGTCCCAACACCTCCTGGGCTTCCAGTATCAAAGTATGAGAGGCAGCAGCATGAAAAGCATTCCGGCCCAGGTTTGACCCCCAGATCTCACAGGAACGTGCTGTGTGCCCTACGGGCAGCTTCAGCACAGAGCTGCAGCTTCCCCGCAGGCAGGATGGAGATGCTGACAGCGCTTAACTACAATCGTACAGTGAAGTCTGAGCAGAAACGAGAATGAGTCAGCTTCTGAGTACACACAAGGAGCTCGGATCTCCCCGGTGCGACGCGGAGAGAAAGACGCTGGGTGTGAAATGGAGCGTACTGTATGATCCCCTGGTAGGAAGCTCAAGGGCAGGCAAAACTAATGGCTGGTTTCCGCTTAATCCTTATTCACACAGAAGGGCAGTGGGCCAGAGACGGTCCAGGAGCTGGATCTGGCTGGCCCTGCTTCGGAACATCCCAGCAGCAGGAGAAGCCAACATCTGCCTGCCCCGCAGAACAGGGTATTTATATTGTTTTCAGGATTTTTTTTTAATCTTTGTCTCTTTCCTTCCCTTCTTCCTTTTCTTCCTTCCTCCTTCCTTCCTTCCTTTCCATCCCTCCCTCTTTCTTACTGTACATACAGTGAAGGAGGCACCTTTGGACTAAAGCTTCTCTTACTTTCTGATTATCTTCATCCTGGTTTCATCCTAACAGAGACTGACCGCCGTGCGCCAGGCACTGGCATGCAGCTGCACTCATGTGCTAGTGGACACACTTTGTGGGTCACGGTACCTGAGCGTCTTCGTGGTTCTTCGCTCAGACTCTCAGGCTGCCTTCACCCGTTACGTGGTGAAAGGCGGAGTGCACGACTGTGGAAGCGCCTGGACCCCGAGCCTTCCCCCGTGTGCGCCCTGGGCCCCGCTCTCACAGGTTGCGTCTCCCGTGTGATCCCATGTCACAGGACAAAGGCTGAGGCTTGGCTGACTCCCAGAGCTGATCCGTGAGGCGCTCGGAGGCGAGGGTCTCACTGCCGAGGGGTGCGAATCAAGTGCCTGGTGGCTGCTTACTTGCTGACCTTGGGGTTGTCACGGCCCCTCTCTGGGCCTCAGTGGCCTTCAGTAAACAGAGTGAATGCAATTCCATCTTTTCTGACAAAAGTTAGGGTGCTGGAACAGAATCAGGTATTCAAAAAATAGCCGTTAGTTCTGCCTCTGGACCTGGGCCTGTGCGGTTGCTGGGGACACATGTGAGAGGGTAAGAACCCTGTGTCCAGGGGTGGGTCCGTGTCCAGGGTCCTCCCAGCCCCAGATGCTCGGCCGCAGGAGGAGGTGATGAGTGCCGGGTCACTATCCTCAGCAGAAGGGAAGGTCCCTGTGTTTCAACCCGTGTCTGCGATCAAGCAAGCAGCGATGCCGGAGGCAGCCCGGGTGTCTGGGGACAGGGGTCCTGGCTGGCTGAATGCTCTGGTTTCAGGACACCTTGCGGAACGGAGCACTTACTGAGCTCTGACACCTGTATCCAACCTCTGCACACGTGCAGCTGGTAGTGGGTGAGCACCCCCCAGACAACAGAGGTGTCTGTTGGTCGTCAGGGAGGAGACAGTTCCCAGATGTCTAGCCCACTTTTCACGTTGGCCTAAATACTGTGGGCAAGAGTGAGCAAGGTTCAGAGGGTGCTGTGTGCTGGGGGCTGAGGACTGTCTCTGAGGCCTGGCTGATGGAGATTTAGTGCAGTTAGAGACGTCAACACACATGCCCGGCGGTGCTCTGATTCTGCCACTACTGAGTGTTGGCAAGGACGCAGAGTACCCGGAACACTGCCCGGGGCCAGATGGAGCTGAAGGTGCAAGGAGCTGGACCTCGGACGTGTCATGTCCAAGGTGTGTGCCCCAGGGAACCGTAGGCTTGTGCGCACAGCCGCGTCCGTGATGGCTCCAAACTGGGCACTGTTGTCCATCTGCGGTGAAATGGACCAACAGAGGTGTGTGCGGGACAGGACCCACGGGAGCAGCGGCAGTGAACAGCCATAGTGACAGAGGCCAACCTCAGACACAGAGGGAGGGAAGAGGCTATGGTAAGAGAACCACAGAGTGGCGTCAGGTGTTTGGAGTTCAACGGCGGCACAGCTGGACTGGGCTGGTTAGGGGCACAGATGGAGGGGTTGCGTGTAATGACAGGTAAGGAACGAGGGTCACAGGGACCGGGACAGTGGGTGTCCCTGGGGAGGGGGGAGGGACTGTGATGGCGCCCGGGGTTCTGGCAGTGCTCTGTTCCTTGATGTGGGTGCTTTATAATTACGCCCTCAAATCCACGCAGGTGATCTGTGCTTTTTTATATGTAACCTACACTTGGAATTTGTAAAAATGCAGTGGGTACGGGAGCCAAGGAGCACGTGGAAGGAGGCTCAGCACCATTAGCCGCCTGGGAAATGCAGATCAGAACCACGGGGCCCCTCACACGCGCTAGGACGATTACAGGGAGAGAGCCAGACATGAGAGCCATTAGTGAGGACGTGGAGAAATGGGAACCCTCGCCCACAGCTGGTGGGAAGTGAAATGGTGTGGTTCCCCAAGGGATTAAATGTGGGGTCACCGTGTGACCCAGCATTGTGATCTCGATGTTTGGGTCTCCCCCCCCCACTCCCCAGTACGTTGAAATCCTAACCTCCAGAGTGGTATCAGGTGGGGCCTTTGGGGGCATTCTCAAATCATGAGGGTGAAGCCCTCGTGAATGGGATCAGGGCCTCACGAGAGACCCCTCGCCCCTTGTTCGTGTGCAGACACAGAGAGGAGGCCCCTGCTCGGGACCAGGAAGAGCACCTTCTGCCAGGACACACTGTGCTGGCACCCTCATCTTGAACTTCTAGCCTCCAGAACTGTGCCACCCAGTCTGGGGCATTTTGTTGCAGCCGCTCGGGCATACCGAGACCCCCAGCATGCCCGCTCCCAGGTGTATACCCGGGAGAAATGAAAACACACGTCCACGTGAAAAACTAAGAGGAGTGTTTACAGCAGTATTCTTTAGAACAGCCACAAAGTGCTAAGTGGAAACAACCCAAACGCCCATCATCAGCTGGTGAACAGGTGAAACGTGGCGTATCCCTGCCGTGGAGTATTATTCAGCCATAAAAAGGAGCAAAGTGCCAACACCTGCTACAATGTGGACGGAGCTTGGAAACAGGATGCTTGGGGGAAAAGCCCGACACGAGTGACCGCATACTGCACCACTGCATTTGGATGCAGTGTCCAGAACAGGCAGATCCGTGGCGACAGAAGGTAGATGAGTGTGCAGGGAGGAGGCTGGAGAAATAGGGGGTGACCGCCAAATGCTACAGGCTTCTTTGCGAGGTAAACTGATCATGGTGATGGTTGAACACGTCACCAAATACGTTAAAAAGTGTTGACCTGTGCACTTTCAATGAGTGTGTCGTACAGTGTGTGAATTATACTGTGATAAACTTTTTTTTAAGTCCCTGGTAGGTTGTCGTGAGGCAGTGTGCATTGTATTTGTGGGTCTGTGACAACAAATGCTTCCTCAGCCACCAGCTGCAGTGGCAGGGCCGGGTGGGCAGGGCGGGGCCGCCGCCTCCTGCACGTGGCCTCCCCCGCCCTCTGTGGCCACCCGTGGCCCGAGGCTGTGGCGAGGTTTGTGTATGGTCCCTAATCAGATGGCATGCAGCCTGTTAGCCCTGCAAACTCTGCATTTTGAGAGCCTCGGTGACCGCAGTCTGTCCGCATTAAGCTGGGCGTGATCATGCCTGCCCTGGCCAGGGCTGGTCACCCCGACGGGCACCAAGCCCTCTCCCCAGGCAGGCACAACAGCAGAGGGAGCCTGTGTGAGACACAGCCGCATCTCTGCACCCTCTGCCCCCATCCTGGAGCCAGGCTGGCTCCCAGCGTCAGAGCTGCCCAGGGGTCTTCTGGGGTTCCCCTTACGCTTGAAGAGCCTGGGTTGTGATTCAGTGTCGAATGGTTGAGGTCTTCAGGCTCTAAGAGGACGTGATTCCGTGCCCCGGCCCAGCTGCCGGGCGCACGGCAGGTGCTCTCGGGAAATGCCCAGGGACAGATCACACTCCTGCATCACCAGGACAGCCAGCCCACGCAACCAGCCTGAACGGTCAGGGTCCTCGAGGCCCTGCCTGGCTGGGCACCCACCCTGCACTGCTGGATGGAGGGGCTGTCAGAGGGCCCGGGGGAGAGGGGCCATCAGGGCTCGGGGTCTCGGGCTCTGCCGTTGCACTACCCTGTGATGTGGAGAAGGAGAGCAAATGAGAGCTAGATGGGGAGGCCGCGTCTGGCAGGTGGTGCCTGGTA